CGCGGCGCAACTCTAGCAGCGCCGCGGGCAGGGCGGCTCGCATAGCGCCCGCGCGCCTCGCGCTCGAGCGAGCGAGCAAGCGCGTTCGAGCGAGCGAGCACACACACACACACATACACACACACACACACACACACACACACACACTCCTACCTCCCCAGAAATCCCGAGGAGGCGCACAGCGCCTAGATATGTCTTGTGTTGCTGTGTGCTGCACGCCCTGCGAGCGGGGCGGGGTGCGCAACACTGTCCCTCTGTGTTCGTGCGTCGCCCATCTCTCCTAGGCCATCTTTGCGGGCCTGCGGCGGTGGTTCCCGGAGCTCATCCCGACCGTCGCGTTGTGGTATAGCGAGCAGCGCCGCCTCTTTCTCTTCAACGCGGAGGCGCGGTGCAGCTCGGGCGACACCTTCATGTCGACCGAGGGCTGCGCGCAGGGCGATCCTCTCGGGCCCTTCCTCTTCGCCGTCGGCTATCATTGGACCCTGCTCGAGATGCAGGTGCGCAACCCGTCCGCCCTAATTTGCGCCTACCTTGACGATACCTACGTCGCGGACGCGCCGAGGGCGGCTCTCGAGGCGATGCTCGAGGGCGACGACCTTGCTCAACTCTGGAGTGGCGTCGAGAGCAACAAGTCCAAGCGGTGCATGTGGGCCCCCGACCCGCGCTCGCTCGACGCGGTGCGCAACCGCACGGATGTCAAGGGCACGCCGGACTCCGCAGACGGCGTCCTTCGCGGTATTCGCGTGCTCGGGGCGTACCTCGGGGACAAGGCGTGGTGCCGTGACAAACTCGTCAAGCGCGTCCGCAAGGCGCTGGAGCCGCTCTCGGGCATCGTGGCGCTGCGCGACACCAAAACGATCCACACCGCGCAGCAGCTCGCCCAGGTGCTCCTCCGCTTCTGCAGCAACACCACGCTCACCTTCTTCCTTCGCACTATGCCGCCGTCGGTGACCCAGGACGCCGCGCGCGAGCACGACCGCCTGATGGAGGAGGCGCTCTACACCCTCGTGGGTGGCGCGCGGGTCGGACGCAACAGCCCACGGTGGCGGGTCGCTGTTCAGCAGGCCCGACTCCCGGTCAGGATGGGCGGTATGGGCCTGACCAGTGCCATGGACATCCGTGAGGCAGCGTGGGTCGGCACGTGGGCCCTCGTCACGCGGCCGATACGCGAGCTGCACGAGCCATTCCGCGACCTCGATGTGGCCCTCGCGCCGGGAGAGCGCTTCGACGAGCTTCGGGAGGCTCACAAACGCCTCCGCGCCGTTCGCGACGCGGTCGGCAAGACGTGGCGCGAGTGGGACGGGCGCACGCTATACCAAGACGTCGTCGGGCCCTTCCAGGAGACCAAGGCGGTGCCACGGCGCCGCTACCACCCGCCCAAACTTACGCCGGCGGCGGAGCTGCTGGATCTTTCGGAGTTCTCGTCTACCAGCGAGTTCTTACAGCAGGCGCAGCGGCGGTACACCGTCGGCGTACACCATCGCAACTGGCTCGCCCTCGCCGACGCCTTCGTCAGCGAGGCATCCCGGCAGGGCGGCCGCTACAAGACTGGCAGGTGCAAGAACCACAAGTGCTGGCGCGAGGCGATTCGGTTCGTCGCAGTCAGCCAGGAGGGGGCTGCGCCTTCCTGGTACCGAGCTCGATTTATCCGCAACCCTTTTCT